ACGACAAGCTCTTAATTGTTCTATCCTAAACTGACATGCAGTGGATACTACAAACTCTACAAACCAACTCATACCCCGAAAGATGTCCGTATCATCAACATGCTAATTTCCAGCATTCGAAGGTTCGATTTTCAAACTCATCCATTGTCTGAGTTAAGTTTACATTAGTTAAAGCAAAACATTACCCTGTTTATCGTGATCAGATTTTTTGAGCCTGGGTGGAACAGAATAATCTGTGTATCAGTGGAATTCTGACAGGAATAAAAACTGCTTGGTACGCAAAATAGCATGCCTTAACTGAGATAGTATCACGGTATTCAGTTCCTGGACATTCGTGTTGGATACGCCTCTAGTTTATCCCGGCCTAAATTCGACTATTTCTAGAAGGCGTCTTTGCGTACAAGATCACTAGAGCGAGCATCTCTGATGTTCCTCAATATATAAACACTTTTTTAAACTGCATGCGACCCTTAAGTCTACAAAGTTGGGCAAAACCACACTTGATCACATTTTTGCTTACAAATGATACTTGTTTATACGTCCAAAACTGTCTTGTCAGTCTTCCATGAATGAAAGTCCTAACTCATTCTGCTCTGAGTTGCAAGGACCTAGAGCGCGCTGTCAAATTGTGTGCTCCTCTTTTAAATCACGAGCCAACTAGAAGTACAAGAAACCCAATTGGCGTGGAAGGAGATCTAATTCAAATACCTGTGCCATCGAGAATCGCTGCTCCACTGCTCAAATTTTGAGCAAAGTTACAAATGTAACAAAGTCATACTGCTGGAATAGGATTATCCATTTTAAACGATAATCATCAATAAAATGGGAGCCAATACATTCACAATACAGATTTTACGGTAAATGGTAATACACCGGGTTATTCAGAACATTGCGAAGCCACTGATGGCTTTCGTGCTCAGTGTGTAGTACTCATTTGTGGATCCATGACTGGGGATTTCAGACCGAATATTTCCGTCTGATTTGTTGAACTTTTTCCTCAATAGTTCTCTAGTTTGGTACCATATGACTTTAAAACAAGAGACACACTTTCAGGAGGCACAATAAAACCTGATCTGAAACGGCTAAATGGGAATAAAGAGGTTTTTATGAAACAAATTTTTGAAGGCATGTGCGATCAAGCCAGTCCCGTGTAGAAGCTGCAGACTCATGGTGTATGCTATTAGTGGAGGCTCTTTAAATTGCTGACTGTCAGTTGGGCTTCTCCATTACTGTCCTATTTATTTCCGCATTTTTTTCTAAATCTATATTTTAGCAACATTCTCTCCAGTTAAAGCTATGATATTGTTCTGCTTGCCTGTGTGCTATTTAAACCTAGCAGTTACGGTGATTATGGCCTTGACTGTCAGTATGCATTCCAAAAACTAGGCAGACATCTGTCTTTATCAAGCACACAAACAGATGTAAATGGACAATACAGATTTTTATCCTCATGACATTTTCCGAGATGATAACACATTTGTTTATAAGAATAGGCCCATCTGGCTGTTTACTAAAAATTTAAATGAAATCCTTCTGATGTCTTTCCCTGTTTGGTTTACCATTCTCAAATTAGAAATAGGCATCGGAGTAGAGGTGTCCATATTGAAATGCTCGAGTAGTTTCCTGGGGACCCGAAGTAGTTTTCAAAAACAACGACTTGCTGGTTTGCTAGGAATCATCGGATGGATGAGCATCGGACACGTGATAACAACGTTATCCTTCATTATGTGGAAAATACCAGAGAATGCTTCTGTCTTAATTTTACTTGAGAGAGAAAATGCGGTCAGCAAATTCGTGCCAATCTTTCAATGAGGGGTGTTTATTCATCTCAATGGTTGGGTTTGCTTGTTTCATTATCTAGGAACGTAGGTGAGCTTGGGCAGTCCCATTCAGCGGTGAGTAATTGCAGAATAAACAATATTGTTTACTCGGATGCTTTGTTTGCTCAACGTGTTTTTGTTATGGGGCCTTGGGAAACGTGATTTCACTACCAGAATGATGAGCCATTCCTACAAACCTACAAAGGTTTGGTGAATCAATAAATGAAGTACATTCTTACATACGTTAGGATTCATCTTGTATGAATAGAACTGTTGGTGGGATGAACCCGATGGAACGTTCCTTTCTTTCTATCTAATATTCTCCTGTAACCCTTTTACATTCATCGCTTGAATTAGCGTTTTATGGATATGACCACGCTGCACAAAAATAAACGATAGTAATGCGACCTAGGAAGAGCAAATTCAGACCGTACAAAACATCATTCTTTCGAAAGCCAATAGTAAATCCAAAGTAGCCTGTGAGATAAAGACAAAGACTAGATAATCTGCCTNAGGGAAAGTTTTCCTGAAGGCAGTAATTGAAACTAGAAGTCCTCTTGAAAAACATGTTTTCATTAGTAATTTTAAAAGTCCAGTCAACGACAGGTACCGTTATACCCATGAGATTTAGACGTAGTGATCAGTGATGGATGAAGTAGGCCAACAGTTGGTTTCTGTTTTGTGTGCCGTACATTAATATTGGTGAGCTGTAGAAGGTTGACCCACACCGAAAAGAAGACATAGAATTAGCCACGCTGGTCAGCACGGTTTTAATCCTGGTGTACCTAGGTGAGGCATTTCAGATCACCTGATGCGAAATTCCATCGCAAGTCGAGGAACGATTCTTTAGTCAGTTGTCATGGGGGGAACGAGATCGGGAAGTTAGACACGACCAAATCATCGGGCCGTTCCATTATCATGTCCCATTAGGAGAGATGACAATCATATGATCCATGCCACCCGTCGGAACACCACCATGAATCGTTCGCTTTCCTTTTGATATATTGATAAACGATATTGCAATAGAAGCTTTTCAAATATTGTTTTAAAGCAACTGGCAATTTGGTTTTGATATCAGAGACATTTTTCGGTGTAAAAACTCACTCTGGTAGTGCATTTTGCGTGGATAACGCCAAGTGGTGACCAAGGTTAAAAGTTGCTCCTTTAACTATCTACATCGGGAAGGGAATGCCAGCCAGTTTTTACTGATGTGATAAGTGTAAATACCTGCGTCGCATTGTTGGGTTGTACGTTTCCAATGTATGGCAACATTTAGTGTTCGATCGTCTAGATGAAATAATGCTGATATCCGCCAGGTGTCATCAATTTACTCCTTCTGTATTGCGAACACAGACAATTCCAGTTCAACATTATTGAATTTGGAGAACAATGTCCTTTTTGGTTTAGACTACTGAGAACGTTTAGAAAGCGTTTAAAACTGTGTCAGTTCTGAAGTGTGGAATGATAGATAATATGTCTGAGTACCAAACTACATTATCTTCGATGGCTCACCGCTAACAGATTCCCTCTTGCCTGGAATCATTGTCAGAGCTCCGTCGGAAAGTTAGATCTAAATAACCAGCATTTTCAAGCGCCAGACGTGTGAGTACTACAGGAGTGAAGTTGAGCGCGAAAAAATAATTTCCATTTGTCTTTGAAATCGACAAATAAACGGCTTGAAAATTATCAAAAACCAAAATTTTGAAAGCTTTATGCTCCCGTTTGTTTCCGTGAAACACCTGGAGCGCAACAAAATAGTTAACGCCTAACTCTTCAACGAAAGCTTCCTCAGAAGTCTCTTGAAGTTGTTCAGCTGACCAACTTTAGTTCCACGCACCACCCTAATACACTTCTACGGAGCACGTAAGCTTAAAGAAAGCACAGAGCGTTCAGAGATGTTAGCAAAACTGACAATGAGACTTACTTGATCTCTGAGCTGAGAAGATAACAGAACGAGAGATTCAGTTGAGTCTCTCGTGAAAGCCGAATTGGCTTGCAAATGAGTGTATTTCTCGAAAACAGTCCAATTTGGTTGCAAGTAGAACATAAGGTTGACGGAAACTCGGGGACTGCACCTAGCTGATGAGCACCAAGAAGGGCGAAACCGGTCGTGGGCTGTCGTAGGCTGTTTCAGCAACCTTGTGAGTAGTTTCCTTTATAATACCAGAACAGTATCCGCCTATATGTCATTAGCACAGCTTGAAAAGCACAGTATGATGTTGCTGTGGTGAAACTGACTAGGAACGTTCCCCGGAATGACGTCACCATGAAACGCTACTGGAACCAGGTTCCGTCAGCTTTTCACCTCTTGCCGTTTTCTCCCTAACTGGTTGTCTTAATATTCTTCTACCTTCCTAGTTTGATTTCAACTGCAGTAACATTCGCCCAGGCTAGAGTTGCGGAATAAGGGTTTCGTGGTAGAGATAGCCAAACATTTATTTTGATCGAACAAATTAATCGCTTGCTTTGTCGCCCAGTACAGTTACCTAGCTGGTAAGCCAAGTACGCATTTGATCACCTATACACTCGGAAAGCCACCGATTTATTAGCTTGCCAGGCTAGAACAAACAAAAGGTTGTAACTTGATGTCTCATTGAAAAACAGAAGAGCAACCCATTAGGCAAATGCGCGTTTTTATGCTCAGCGGCAATCTTTTAGGATTTCGAACTGTCTAGTGTCACAAGATCATAACATATAAGTAGCAAAGCAAACAAGTAAAACAAAAAGCTCGGTGTCGGTATAAGTCCATCTGATAACTGACCTTCGAAAGCATGCACCTGGTGGAGCTGTCTTGGTGGAGCTGTCTTGGTGGATCTGTGGTGAACAGAGTGCAGTGCTCTTCATATTGTAGGTCACCAGGAAAAATGATTTCGGTCCATCCTACTGTCCAACAGTAGCGAATCTGGTGAGGTGTGTGCGTCTCAACCAGGGGTTCCGGAAGTTATCACGCTGCTAAATGATGACTAAATGTGGTTTGTACACCATCAAATTCGGAAACCACCAATAACTTATCATCCAGCAGGTTTCAGAAGTCGGTAGCGCTTCCCTCGTAGGCTTAACCTTGGCGTCTCTTAAGACGTTGGCTAAACCAAGCCTAAACAAGTCTTTCGTACAGACGCACTAAATCGTATGCACCTGTTGGTATTGTTGCAGTTGTAGGTACCGCAATCACCTCAAAAGTTAGATTCCGGGGTTCGAATCCTGATCATCATCATCATTATCATCATCATCATCATCATCATCACCATCATCATCACCATTATCATCATCATCATTGTCAGCTGTAATAACCGCGTACTCGTCGTACAGT